GAAGGCGTAGGAAGTATAGAGTCAGTCTACTTGACGCCATTTTTTTTTAAGACTGGATTTTTCTGAATTGTTGTCAATCTATCAACCAACCCTAAGAGACAAGTAGGTATACAAACAATTGTTGTAATCAATTCAATATTACTGGGTGTTCTGTTTTCTATGAGACTCTAGATATATCTTGAATCTTATTCGAAACCAGTACAACCGTTGTCCAGGCAGAGATATTCACTATTCTCATGACGGCTTGGATATTTAGAAGTTAAGAAATTTGACTGAAGAACAGTCAAGGTAACAGGAAACTGACCTTTCTTCCTCCGAGAGCCTGTACGTTTATATTAACATTGCATTAATTGACAGTTCCAAGATATTGCATTTCATATACATTCGGCTTATGAATATGCATCAACTTACAATAGTAGAAGATATTTATTGAATCAATTAGAGTTTCTGTAGCAAGGCTTTCCCTTTATTTATATCTTTGCTGTCAAGAATTAAATGATAGCCTAATATTAATAATTTGCCATTGTATGTAAATTCGGAGGCCCGCTTGTTCTTAGTCCGGATTATTAGTCGATATTATGAGCTTTATAACTTACTAGCTGTTAACGGCGACTTCTTATGCTTTAAGCTGTTACTAACATACAACATTGCTTTTGAGTATTGCTCTAATTGCATTTCACTAGTAAATTGACAGTCAACGTGTATGCTTGGAAAATTTGGTTTTTTTATTATTGGGGTCATAAGCTTCGGGGGTAAAAATTTTACATTGTAAAACATACCTCTCTGACAAATTTCGTGTTATACTATACATTCTCACGTTAAGTCTCCTCTAAACAAAACTTCATCGTTGCCGATTCTTAGATATTAGAAACCTCCGAGCAATTTCAAACAAACTTACAACTGCCGTTTAATTCCTGTCACAAAATATGTTCTTAGCTGAAATGTCCTGTCTATAGGCTACCTCCCTGCCAAAATTCATGCTTGTAGGTCAAACAATAGTTTCCAAGATGTCGTGGTTAATTTGTATTTTTTCGTTTTTACATATATCTACCCTTAGCCTAAATCTAGCCCTGTTGCAAAATCCGTTTTTCCTTCTCCATGAACTTACCTCTATACCAAATGTCATGCTCATGGGTTAAATACACCATACAGCCATATCTTTGATTTGGGCGTGAAAAAACTGACGTATGAGGTGATTCTGTGGGACTGAATAACTTCTTGGTACAGGTACATTTTTTAAACATCACACATGTTAATAAATCAGTTGCTTATTTTTACGACATTCTTTCTGAAGGAACAAATAAATATATATTCAGTGACGTTAGAATAGTTACACCCAGAAAAAATAATATTTTCAACTTGTTTTTTTGGCAACATAATGACTATATTTAAAGCATGCTGTTCAACAATGTCAACATTTTATCTTTGTTTTTGTTTACCTTTGCTAAAATGTTTTATGTTAGTTTTTGTGAAGAAAGCAGTTTCTGTGAGCTGAGTAGTACATATATTTTTAGCTATTGCTCTTTCATTTACTAGTGTTAAGCATAACAAAATGTCCCGAGTTGGAAAACGTCCAAATTATCACCATGATAGTAACTTTGACAGAGGTAGAATTATTGCCTATCGATAATATGTTGGTTTGTCCTATCGAGAAATTGGCCATCGTGTTAATTGTACTACAGTGATGGTAATACGTGTGTGGATAGAAGAAGGTAAGAACACGAAGTAGGTCAACTGGTCTACCGAGACGTACCACAGAGCGTCAAGATAGGCGCTTCAGACAACTAGCCTTACGAGACAGTTTTGCTACTACGCGTCAGATCGCTGACCAATGGTTTGGAGAAGAAGGTAGACATGTTACTATGCGTATACCCTATCGCCGCATTTCAGCCTTTGGATTTTTTTCACACCGTCCTCGGTTAGTGCTTCCTCTGACTGCGGACCACTTTCGTCAATGTTTTAACTGGAGTAGAGAACGGCAATATTGTGAGGCAGAATGGCATAATGTCATCTTCAGCGACGAATCGCGATTTTGTCTAGCTATGCACGATGGTCGTAGAAGGGTAAGACGCTGCTGTGCAGGACGGCGTTTTTGGGGGCTATTGCCGATGGTACCCGATCACCCCGTCTCTTTGTTCAATGCAATATGATGCTGCGCGTTCTGTTGATGATGTCGGACAAAGCACTTTTCTGACGCCTCTAGAGGGCCGTCTATACGTCCTTTTTCAGTAAGACAACGCACGTCCGCATATTGCTTGTCATACTACAGGCTTTCTTCAAGAAGTAGGCGTTAATATTTTGCTGTGACCACCCCGTTCACCAGATTTAAATCGTATTGAACATGTGTGGGATGTGATGGAGTAATGGGGAGGAGACTATCCACTTTGCACCATCCGCCACAGATGCTGCCACAGCTAATCCATGAAGTTTGAGTTGCTTGGAATGAAGTGCCACAACTAGACATCGATCGATCTCATTTTATCGATGCCTGGATGAATACAGGAGTGTATTCAGCTGCGGGGTCGCCCAACACATTATTAATTTTTTTTCTTATTACTTGTCAATTAAATTTCGTGAGAATGTTATCGTTTCATTCTTGATGTAAGACTATCTCATTGCCCAAAAATCAAGTTAAAGAAATAATTTTGTTCCATCTTGGTTCATTGCCGATTTAAGATAATTGAATGAATAATTATCAACGGTAATATAAACGAACAAGATAGTTGAGTACCAAATTATACATATAAAAGGTACTGTAATGATGTAACGCAATATCAGTGTAACATTCAGGAAATCATAGAAACTGTTTTCCCTGTATATGCTAAACTTTATCAAAATTGGTTCAGCCGTTTTGGCGCGAAAACGGAACATGCAAACATACATACAATATTACTAGTAATATTTCTTTTGCACAAGAAAATATCGTGAACATTAACTTGCCACGGATCCAAAAATTGTTAATTCCAAATAGCTAGTGTACCAATAAACGGAGTGGTTACTGAAGATTGTTTGGTAACAAAAACAAAAACAAAGCTCTCGGGAACATGTATCTTTCCACAATTACCGTCGAAGCTTCGTTAAAAAATTAGCTTCAAATATGGCATGGCTTACTTCAGAAGAACATCTTCTTACTAATTTTCCAAAACGTTTTCTTGAGGATAATAGCCATTTTTTATCATCCTTCAACAATGGAATCGCCAAATAAAGGTCTTATTGTCTTCCTCAAAAACATTGGCGACGGTTTTATAGTCTGAAAAAGTTTGATCTTACCGTACCATATTTCAAGCTACATTATTGTTGACGAGTTGGCAATACTCGTATGTTAAATTGAACAGGTGGCGCATCAAGTCCCAAAAGTAGGATCATCTAGGTGGTATTAAAACTACGAAAATAATATGTATTATTTATCCAAGAGAAATCAATGTTCTACATAAGTATTAATGACATCCACCGCTAATAACCTGCCAAGGTTGATGGAGTTATTTCTTTAAATAGAAGAATGCTTCCTTTATTTGTATAGAAGCAGTAACAGTTAGCACTGTACTAGCAAGTTCACTTATAAATGGAATATTAAAAAAGTTTTTTTCATTCATATTGAGGTAAAAAATACTTCACGGTTATCTCCACTAAAAACGGGGTTCAGCTATTTTAAAGTATACGATGTCTTTAAAAATGGTTTTTGACCAACAGTTTGAGATAGCAGCTTCGCCTTCCTATGCCAAAACTGGTGAGGACGTATTGTAATCGTGAACCATTTCGAAATTGAGATATTATGGATTTTGGATGTTATATGGTATGACATGTACATCATGAAAAACCATGTCGGTTTCTCCGACTGTCGGTCCGTCCGTTAATTCTATAACAGTCTGTACCATGGGAATTACCGCTTGGATTTTAACGAAATTTCACACAAGGTGTGCTAAGGATGAAAAACCTCTGTAGTTTTTGAAACCGGTCCAGTGCTGGTGCTAGGAGCAAAAACCCGAAAAAAATATAAAAATCACATAACTTCGTTGTTTCAGAGGCCCCTGATCATATTTGGAAAGTTTTTTGTAGGGGTTGAAACTTGGGAGCTGGGGTTGTACGTGGTAGGGGGTTGCAAATGTAACGTCTTTAGTATTAGCCAAAGACATATCATTAAAAAGCTTCTGATCTCTTTAACGACGGGAAAATTGATGATAAAAGTCCGACGTATAATTGAGAGATTAAACGAACTTACCTAAGTGAAGTTTAATCCTAATTATATGAGCCTCGCCGAAATAAATAAGTATACGTGTAGTAGCTCTGCTTGCAGTCAAATCTCACACAGTTCAAAGCAAATTTTCTCACCCTGGATACAGTCCTGTCCCTTCGCCACTCCGTCGAACCCTCATACCTGTTCAAAGCATTGTTGCAACATATTGGGGGGGGGGGGGGTAGAGTAACGGGCGGGAGCTTATTTATTTCGGCGAGGCTCATATAATTAGGATTAAACTTCACTTAGGTAAGTTCGTTTAATCTCTCAATTATATTGCGCCTCGCCTTCATAAATAAGTATACGTGTAGTAGTTCAATGTAAGTTGCAACAATTTGTTTAGTATCATCAAGTTACATATGCGTAATTACATGACATGTAAGAAACGGGGTAGATTTGATTTGGATTTTACCCCAAAAAAATAAACGTCTATCCCCAATCAATACTTTATTCCGAGTACCACCATTTACTTCGTATTTAGGCACATTTTGTTTGGCTCTAGGTACGTGACTGTCGCCATCTTCGCTACTACCTGCGAGGGATCGCAGGTAGTAGTCGTCCCCGGACCCCGCAGAAGATAACGATATCATTTCACCCTTTTGAGAGGGAATTATGGGTAGTCACAGCGGCGCCGCTTACATACATAGTAGTCATTGCAAACTTAACAGTGATTTCCACTATTTCTCTATAGTGAACAAGAACAACTATTTCTAATTTCTTTAACATTAGGCAAAACTGAACACTGCTTCCGCAAAGTCAGACCTACTAGAAACTAATGGTTTTTGATAAAATCTTGCGAATGTTTTAGATTTTTCCGTCCACCCCGCGGCCAACCGGATGCTATCATAGCTTATCCCTTTCCTGGAGGCGGTAGAAGTAGCTGAATGTCTAGTGCTCTGAGCACAAAAAGAACTTATGTCTGTACCACTCTTTAATAACATAGTTTTTAACCATCTGCTGATAGTTTGAGTAGAGGCTATTCGATGCGGCCTTCTAAAACATAGAAACAAACTCAGTTCGTTACCTCGAATAGCCTTTGTTTTTTCCAGATATAACAGTAACGTTTTGGCTGGGCAAATATTCACATTATCCGGAAAAAATGGCAAAACTAATGTGGGCTGCATTTTGTTAACGCCAGATGTCTTTATCCTTTTAGATATGCGGATTTCTAACCGAGCTGAGAAATTTTGAATATTACACACTTCCATACTAGCTAATGTTTGGACGCGTTGGCCTGTTGCTAAGGCGAGGAGCATGGCCGTCTTGAGAGTTAACTGTTCTAAAGTAGGATTCGTAGAATATGAATTTTTATATGGTTCAAAACTATGCATGGATCCCAGGTGTTGTTATACTTAGGGAGCGGAGGCCTTAAGCAACTCAGTCCTTTGAAAAATCTTATAATTCTGAAATCTTCACTAAGATTTGGCCCTAGAATCTGTGAAAGCGTTCCTCTATATGAATTCAGAGAGCTAAAAGAAGACCCCTCATTGAAATGAAATGTTAGAAATTTAAGTACTGCAGAAAACCGACTGGGTGTAAATATTTTTTCTCCATTGCAATATTCCCACCAAAGCCTCAAGCCCACGTTGTACTGCTTAATTGTGTTATCCGTAACTGCTGCAAGACATATATTTAGCGATTCCGAGGGAACGTCCCCCAACATCAACGCCCGCCTGATACAATTCCTGCCACCAGGGTAGTTTTTCTCCAAAGGGGGTGTGGTGACCTGTTGAAAGACATTAACATCTTGGATGGACGAAATTTTATTGCATTACATTCTAAAAGGGATGTAAACACAGGATAGCAGGGTTGAGATGTCCATAGGGGGACGACAAGAATGCCCCTTGCTCCATCGAGAATGATTTTATTCAATACCCGCAAAATTAGTGAAAATGGCGGAAATGCATAAAAATAGAGCTTTCCCCAAATCAACGTGAAAGCATCAATTGCCATTCTCTCGGGGTCTCTCAACCATGAAACAAAGTTTTTGCATTTTTCATTAATTTTACTCGCAAACAGGTCAATTTCAGGCTTGCCAAACTGTGCAACTATGTTTTCGAATGCAGATACGTCCAGGGACCACTCCGTCTCGGTTTCCAAACTACGACATTCCCAAATCTGCTTCCTTATTATCGGCTGATTTTATGTATGCCGCATAAAGGAATAAGTTTCTTGTTTCACACCATTGCCAAATGGTGCGCGCCAGACTATTAAGTTTTGAAAATCGCACACTACCCATTTTATTAATGTAGGCCAAGGCTGTGGTGTTATCCACCCGACACAGGATGTTACAATTAGATAGGTTAGCTGCAAAACATTTTAGCCCAAAGAAAAATGCCAACAGTTCTCGATAGTTTATGTGATGTAGTTTTTCAATGTCCGACCAGAACCCGTGCGACTTTATCCCAAAGCAGCTAATACCCCAGCCAGAGTCTGGTGCATCGGAAAAAATTTCTATAACAAACGAATCAACTTGAATGAAGTTTTTTGCCTGTGGCAAATTATTAAACCAGCAGTTAAAATCGTGAATAAGTGTTGGGGAAAGTCGCATGATTGCATCAAAATTCCCTCTCGACTCGAATAATGCTAAGTGTTTTTCCCGTTCGAAGTTTTTTGTGTACAACCATCCGTACTTGATTCCAGGACAGATACTGACTAGTTTCCTCAACAATCTGGCAAATTCTCTAATGCTACACTTTTCCACTGATGACATTTTTGCACTAGCTGTCTGGATTTTAAAACTTTTTCATGAGGAATACGAATAGACATATCTATCGAATTATAAATGAATCCAACATATTGAATTGACTGGGATGGGGCTAAAATGGATGTCTCGTAGTTTGGCAGGAAGCCTAATGAAAGTAAGAGGTTTAGGGTCTCCTTCAGATTAGAGAGACACTCTACATGAGTGTTACCAAACAAAAGAATATCATCCCAGTAAATAACAGATAAAAACCCTTTTGCTCTAAGAGAAGTAATAACGGGTTTCATTAATTTTGTAAAAATGTAAGGTGCTATATTTAGCCCAAAGGGCATACACCTAAATTCATATAGCTGCACACAAAATTCGAATCTTAAGCATTTCCTGTATTTTTTGTGCACTGGTATTAGAAAATACGCATCTTTTAAGTCCACCTTACACCTGAAACAGTTGCGGACTAAATTCTTTACGGTGCGACTATCTTCCATCTTAAGATGGCTGCAATGTCTATGTCTGTTGACATTTTTCAGATTCAGAATGAGACGATTAGAGCCATCGTTTTTTGGCCTGAGAAAATTTTTAGGAATGTACTGCTTATCACTCGCCGAAGCCATGGTAATGGCTCCTGTTAGTAGTAATTTAACTATGTAAACTTGGATAAGCTTGATCCTGAAGTGACCATGAGGTAACTGCAAAATTCTGTTGTTTAGGATAATGTCTAAATGGTAACTTTAAACCTTTAACCCAACTAAGGACTGATTTATCCTGACAAACCCTAAGCCAATTGGGGTAGAAATGTTTAGGCCTACCAGCGACACGCACCTCAGAGGTTGGATTCATTGCCAACTGCGATTCTTACGAATCGATTTTGCCGGCTTTGGTTTTATGGTCTTCCCGGACAGCATTAATCTGCTTGCATCATTGAGCAGTTTAATGTTTTTTCGGTTGCCCCCCCCTCTTCAGCCAACATTAAGCTAAAGAGTTGGCCCGTAGCGGCTAAACATGCGGCTGTTTGACCCTGTAGAGCCATCAACCGAGGGTCCCTTTGAGGGTGATATTGCCTTGACAACCATCGGTTTAAGTTATGGGGCCGCCATGTATTGAAAATTCTCGGGGAGAGGATACTTGTTGCAAAGTTCCTTTTTGTCCTCTTCAGACAACCCCGCGGCCACAGCTTTTTGCCAACGGGAAACCAGATCTTTGTGTAAATTCGGCCCATAAATGAATGTGTTGGTATCAGGTGTGACCAGAATTTCGACGACATCTTCTGAGAGCTCGACACCAGGAGGAAGAAACAACATTTTTATTCCACCTGGATGTGTTAGTGTATCATCAACACTAATGTAACACGTTGTCCCAACTTGACCAGAAACTGTGAAGAGCGGGATAAACGGAAGGTATGCCCATTGATACCTTATCATCCAGCCAAAAACAAAGAAGGTACTCTCATCGATACCCGGCAAAATACGTAAGTACACTCATTGGTACCAGGCGACATAATTGGGTACACTCATTGGTACCAGACGAAATAAATAGGTACCCTCATCGATACCGGCTTAGAGAATGGGTATACTTCCTTGATACCCTGAAGTACGAAAAAAAGGTTCGAATGTTACTCACCTGGATGTGTTAGTGTATCATCAACACTAATGTGACACGTTGTCCCAACTAGACCAGAAACTGTGAAGAGCGGGATAAACGGAAGGTATGCTCATTGATACCTTATCATCCAGCCAAAAAACCAAAAAGGTACTCTCATCGATACCCGGCAAAATACGTAAGTACACTCATTGGTACCAGGAGACATAATTGGGTACACTCATTGGTACCAGACGGAATAAATAGGTACCCTCATCGATACCTGCTTAGAGAATGGGTATACTTCCTTGATACCCTGAAGTACGAAAAAAAGGTTCGAATGTTACTCACCTGGATGTGTTAGTGTATCATCAACACTAATGTGACACGTTGTCCCAACTTGACCAGAAACTGTGAAGAGCGGGATAAACGGAAGGTATGCTCATTGATACCTTATCATCCAGCCAAAAAACCAAAAAGGTACTCTCATCGATACCCGGCAAAATACGTAAGTACACTCATTGGTACCAGGCGACATAATTGGGTACACTCATTGGTACCAGACGAAATAATTAGGTACACTCATCGATACCTGCTTCTCACCAGCCGAAGGTAAACAAATCGGTGAAACCGTGCAATTTGAAGTGTGGCCCCCGGACCGATCCATGATACTCGAACCAGGGGGAGTCCTTGATCTAGATGACAGAGAGGACTCCGACGACTGAGACGATGAAGACAAAGACGATACTAGTCTCCGATTTCGTTTCCATACTGGGCTTCGGCTGCGGCGATATTCAATTTTCCGCAATCTCTTAGGAATGTCTCGAAGACAATTCATTACATCACCCACATTTCCCGCACTTTTCGCGCTAGACTCGCGTGAGGCCGCGGTGCCTTCGCTTAATTGACCTCCCGGGCATGACACCCACAATTTGAAAAAATCCCGGCACCAAGGTACGCACCAACCGGAAACGAACCGCTCGATTCGACACACAAACAAAGTATGAGGGTTCGACGGAGTGGCGAAGGGACAGGACTGTATCCAGGGTGAGAAAATTTGCTTTGAACTGTGTGAGATTTGACTGCAAGCAGAGCTACTACACGTATACTTATTTATGAAGGCGAGGCGCAATATAATGTGCTAATAACTTGGCGATGCGCATCGTTGTCGAGCTCACTGTCGATTGTACAATGACACACCACTGTAGGAGAAACAATTTATATATTCTAGCAGTATTTAGGTATTAGCCACCACTTTAGCGTTCTGCAATGCTTTTTAATCTGTGCTACTGCCTCTCTGATGGTTCTATGAATATTTCGAAAAACAGATTGACTCAGCACTTATGACGCATTGATATACAACAGACACGGACTGAAAAACCGACATAAATAAGAAACGCGAACTTGTGTGATGCAGATATAAGCAACAGAAAACTTGTGAACCGAAGTTCGCGTATTATCGCGGGTTTCTTCTTTATTCCTTATGGCTTCTGTATACGTGTACAATCCGCCATTATCGCGGATTTAATACTTCGTTTAGGCAGTCGTAGATTTAGAAAATTGGTTCAGAGACGGAGGAAATAAAATCGCTGGACATTTTTGGTTGTAAATTATTGAATATTTGGTCTCAGTGAAACACCCTCTATTACTCAGAGGCTGCTGATCTCAGTGAAACTATGCACATGTTAGACTTATTAAGTCACACATACTTCCCTACATCTGCCATGGAAAAAGAAATATAGATTTGCTTTATATAGTTTGATATGCAGAGAGGTCAAAGGTTCATCGTACCTAAGTAAACCTACGTAATCACGATTCGATTTGGCCTTTTGAAGCAATTTGACTCATCCCTTTTCTTTGGAACCTAAAACAAAGGCGTAACAAGTATAAAGTCAATCTACTTGTCATTTTTCTTCTTTCGGATTTCCAAGTTTATAAGAGAACGTTTTTTGCCGTGACGTTATTCACTGCCATTCATAACGCAAGCTGAATGGTCTTTGGCAAAAAGATTTGCCGACTGGCCTACCGACAAACAGACAGATCGAGGGGCCTGTGCGGTTGAATACGCGCGTATAATTGATTAAAATTGGACATCGTATGATTTTCGAGAAAATTACGATCGACATGTGGATTTATCGCTGCCGTCTGGACAGCGGACAATAAAAATACTTACTAAGAGTCAAACAATGCTGATCATTCGGTTTCGGTGGTCGTGATTTTGCCGATGACCAGTTTTTGCAAGAGGGCGACATGAAGTGCGCTTTCCAAAATTATTATAACTGTCCCAAATGTAGCTTTTGAGCTGGCTCATACTAGTTGAAGCCACTACTTGCTTGATATGTTATATATTGTCGATAATTTACTGTCAAAAAATTCTATTGCAGGTCATATAATTTTTACTTTGCACGTCTACTGGCCGGGAAGTATTGTCATGGCGCAAAATTTTTAAAATAAGATATTATGTTTTTTGGATATTATATGATTCATTTCCGTCGATCTGTCTGTCGGTTCGTCCGCTAATTTTATAACCGCCTATAGATTGAGAACTACTGCTCGGATTTCGATGAATTCTCTACAAAATATTACTACTATGCTAAGGACGCAAAAGCTTTGTAGTTTTTGAAAATCGGTCCAGTGGCGGCAGAAAAAAGGCTTAAAACAAAACAAAAACATACAAGTTGCCCAAACTCCATTATTTGACGTTTCAGAGGATCCTGATAATTTTTTGAAACATATTTTAGAGGAAAAACTGGGGGCGGGGGTGGGGAGGGGGGTCATAAGGGGCTGTGAAGGCTTTGTCTCAATTTTTTGATGTGGTACATTTGCACGCCCCCAATATTGGTAATTCACGCACCTATTAGACATATTTCACACACCATAGATTTCTCTGTAAACTGAAAAATATTCTCGTGACATGAATCGCGTACCTATCGGCCGTGGCTGATGAGTGTTCTGTTATCGAATCACACGCCTTTCTGTCGCGCAACAGCATAGTGTTTTCTATGCTCTGGCCGCGGTACCATGGTGCCACATTTGTCCAAGTTATCTACATATGTATCGGAGAGAGCCGACGGTTCCAGAAGCAATACCGATTGGGCAGGGTAAGAATGTCTATGGACTAATTGTTTGACCGACTTTTTTACTCAGAGGGTCTAAACATATTCCTTTATCTACTGATAAGGGCGATGCGTTAGAAGTGCAGCCTACTTGACGCCATTTTCTGCGATACCGAAGCAGCCGCGTAGGTAGGCGCTTGAAGAAAATTTGTTAACCCGTTTTTTGGTCTGCCTACGGTTACTGGAACTGGGAAAAACCTCCTCAGGTAAATTATTCCACAATCTCGACACCGTAGGGGAAGTACTCCAAACATGTGAGAAGTGTTGTAGTCTGGATGATAACCGATGATTCTCGATAATATTCTTTCAAATCGTTATGCTGCCGGTATCAGTGAATCATTGTTGAACATTTACAATGTTTGCTCGGCATTGAATCATGCGGATTGTCACTCGACCAGCTTATTATGAAGAATTATGCGCGACCTGTTGGCTTCAAGAACATGACACCTATCTCGTTTATCACTAGAATGTATGCTTGCTGCAGAGCTGTTGCAATGTGAACCATCCTTTGCAAGAAGGTTCCATGTACATTTGATGCCACATCGTTAGGTTATTTAAAGCATCCTAGAAAATATACAATTGAACAAATGATATTTTGATATCAAACTATATTTCTTTCTATTTTTTAGACAGAATGCATATATATATATATATATATATATATATATATATATGTAATAGCGATCATATTCAAAAGTCTAAAATTCCAACTTCTAAAGTTTCTCACCAATTAAGATAGTGTTTACAAATATTAGACTTTTAGAAATTACTGCAAATTTTGTAAATAGCTTATTTTAATACTCACGCCTACTGATGGGGAAGTATTGTAATCGCAAAATGTTTGAAAATGAGTTTTTGGATGTTATATGCCATGTACATCACGGAAAACTATATCACTTACTTCCGAAAGGTCTATCCGCTATCCTATAACCGCTTATAGCTTGAGAAGCACCGCTCAGATGTCGATGAAATTTTTGCACAATGTTACTACTATGTCACGGAGGTAAAAGCTTTGCAGTTTTTAAAAATCTGTCCATTGGTGACAGAGAAAAAGGCCAGAAGATCTCCCTAACTTCTTTTTCTTGACTTTTCAGATTGTTAAAAAATCTTCAGTGGTAAAGAAACTTGGGCGTAGGGAGGGTTTATTTCAATTTTTTGATGTTAGTACATTCATATGCTTCCAGCCTTGGTAAATTCTACGCACCTATTACACATATTTGACACATAATGGATTCCTCCCTACATAGTCATTGAAACTAACAAATACGGTGGCGTGTCGCCAGCCTGTGTTCTGTTACACGTACTTTTGTCGCGCCACTGCATAGTGTTCCTTATGCTCTGATCGCGCTACCAGAGTCAGAGCATAGCACTCTCTGTCGGAGTGATGTATTGGGGACAGGCGACGTTTGATGGTACTACTGGTAGGGCAAGGAAGGAATTTTTATGGACTGGATATTGTGAATAACTCTAATTTGAAAATAGATTCATATTAATGCTCAACAAGTGGTTAACGAGTTCAGATACTTGGTTACGTTTTCAAGGTTATTTTCAAATATTGTAACAATTGTACAGCCTATAGTCTTTTTGAGAAATCAAATTCTATTGTG